GCCTGGCACGTAGCAAATTATTCATACATGCCAGCTCTTGGGATTATTACTTTATCAGTTTGCACTTAATTTTTGTTGAGGAAGAGTTTTGAACTTTTGCCAAATTCTCAAACAGGTCTACGATCCAGGAAGGTCAAGAACCACTGGTTTGGAGAGCAAAAGGAGCCCCCAGTGGGTCTGCCGGCTGGGATGTATATACTGCCATTAAGTTCCCACATATTGGCTTTGTGAGGTCCACTAATGGGTATCTGTAAGTATTCCTCTGTGGGTCAGGGTGTGATCTTGCCCGTGATGATTCTCCCCTCCCAAGGCCCTGGGTCCCTGTGACCTCCAGGGCTCTCCAAATACCTCATTAGCACCAGCTGAGAGCAGAGCTAGGAAGTGGGGCTGCTGTAGCCTCTGCAGAGAGCATCCCTCATTAGAGCAGAGAGAAACAGCAGCTCTGACACAGGGTGGGCAGGCGCAAAGCCCCTTTGTGTCTGGATCTGATGACTCAGGAAACATCGCACTTCTGAGGACATCATTGTCAGCACAAAGCAGCATCTCTGACGACAGAGCCCAGGCTCCTCTGGACTAGCACTGTCCTGCCGCCCCCAGCCCCCTTGATTGCTCAGCCCCCTTTCCTATGACCCCACCAGCGTTAAAGCTGCGTCTGTAATAAACTGGCCCTTTACTCACTAGTCCTCCCAGTGGCCAGAGAGGGTAGACTGCGATCCTTGTCAGAACCCTGAGGCTCCAGTAGATGGGGCAGAGCCAGGTTTGGGATTCAGGTCCCCCTCCTCCAAACCCTTGTGGTGTGACAGGCAGAAGTGCACACTCAGCATCAGGCAAACCAGGGTAGGTCCCAGCTGTGGCATTCTCAATCTGTGGTGTTGGGCCAGCCATTTCTATGTTCTGAGCTCCAGTTTCTTCTTCTGTCGGAAGGAGATAGTCACAACTGAACCCCCTTCTCCCCCTGCCTTGTAGAGATAGCATTCCGAAAGCCGACTGTGATTATGTTGCCCTCCTGCCCACGGCCCTCAGCAACACTCCCTGGCCCTCAGGATGAAGGTCAAGTTTCTTGGGCTGCCATTCAAGGCCCTTTGTGATCTGGATGCTGCCCATTGCCCTGGCCACACCCCCCACCACACACCCCATCCAGTCACAAACCAAACCATTACTCTCTTCAGCCCACTCAATTCTGCTTCCTTTGCTAGGAATTCTTTCCTGCTTCAAACTCAATGCAGGTACCTCCTCCTCCAGGAAGCCTTTCATGACCTCCTATTTCTCTTTCCACATTGCATCAGGTGCCTCTTCTTGGCTTCCACCTCCCAGAGCTGAGTGGACCTTGTGCTAGAATCCTGGCATTAGAAAGAGCCTTAAAAGTTCATTGAGAGGCCGGGTGTGGTGGCTCATGCCTGTAATCCCAGCACTTTGGGAGGCCGAGGAGGGTGGATCATCTGAGGTCAGGAATTCGAGACCAGCCTGACCAACATGGAGAAACTCCATCTCTACTAAAAATACAAAATTAGCTGGGTGTGGTGGCACATACCTGTAATCCCAGCTACCTGGGAGGCTGAGGCAGGAGAATCACTTGTACCTGGGAGGTGGAGGCTGTGGTGAGTCAAGATTGCACCATTGCACTCCAGCCTGGGCAACAAGAGCAAAACTCAAAAAAAAAAAAAAAAAAAAAAGTTCATTGAAAGCAGTGCATTTCCAAGTGTGACCCAGCATCATCTGGAAACTTGTTAGAAATGTACGGTCTTGGCCGGGCGCGGTGGCTCACGCCTGTAATCCCAGCACTTTGGGAGGCCGAGGTGGGTGGATCATGAGGTCAAGAGATCGAGACCATCCTGGTCAACATGGTGAAACCCCGTCTCTACTAAAAATACAAAAAAATCAGCTGGGCATGGTGGCGCACGCCTGTAATCCCAGCTACTCAGGAGGCTAAGGCAGGAGAATTGCCTGAACCCGGGAGGCGGAGGTTGCGGTGAGCCGAGATCGTGCCATTGCACTTCAGCCTGGGTAACAAGAGCGAAACTCCGTCTCAAAAAAAAAAAAAAAAAAGAAAAAAGAAATGTACGGTCTTGGGTCCCACCTCCAGAGCTACTGAATCAGAAACTCTGGGAGTGGGACCCAGCAATCTGTGTTGTCACAAAGTCCTACAGGGAATTCTGATGCCCAAATTTCAGAACCACAGTTCTAATGCAGTTGTTTGCAGCCACGCTAGAGTTCTGCATTTGCAGTGCCCCATGAAATCGACTGCCACATGGTCTGGGCTCCTGCACCTGCTACAGGAGGGAGAGGCCCCAGCTGAGCTGTTGGTACCCTGTGTGCCCAGCCACCTCTCCTTCCAGGGGGCTCCAGCAGATAGAGTTGTTACAGAAGAGAGTTCTCTTTATTACATCCTATTCTCCTACTTACTGCAGACACATGGCCAATTTTAAATCATAACTTTCTTTTATTGGCAAAGAAGAAATTTTGGCATCTGTTTCATTTATTTCTCATCAACTTCTCTTCATCCCAATCTTGCCAGGCTGGAGCCTGCGGGGCTTAAGAATCAAAATACTGGTCATCTGCCTCTTCAGGAAAATGTTGTAAATTTCATGGGGCTCATCTCAGACGCACCAAATGTTACCTGGAAAAATACATCTTTCCTCCTCTTCCCCTGCTCAGCACCCCACCAGTGTGTTTCAGAGAGTTGTGACAGTCTTAGTAGTCCAGATGTTTTCTGAACCAACTTCGTTTCCCATTAGAAGAGTCCAACTTCCCTCAATTCCCCTTTTTCCACTTCTGGAATTGCTAACCTGTCATACTTGGAAGTTCTTCTTGGTGTCTGATCTAACTCTTGCTATTGCTGGCTTCAAACCAGACTATCACATAAAGAAGAAAAGTACTTTTATCTCTATTTTTCAGCTCTGGAAATTAGCACAGGACCTGCACATAGTAGGCACTTGATGTTAGTTTAGAAAATAAGTGAATGAATGAATGAATGAATGAATAAGGAGATTAACAATAACAATTGTTGATGATGAAAATGAACATTTAGGCTGAGATGGGGGAATCACTTGAGCCCCGGAGGTCAAGGCTGCAGTGAGATATGATCATGCCACTGCACTCCAGCCTGTCCATGCGGACAGAGCAAGATCCTGTCCCTAAAAAAAAAATTTTTTAATGAACATTTACTCTGAGGATTATGTTAAGTGTCTCAGATATGTTCAAACACCTAACAACCTTGTGGGGTAGATACAAAATGTTTGTGAAGGATATAAAAGATAATCTTAAAGAGGGAAAATGTTACTTTCATGCAAAAAGTTAATTTCCATAGCTATGGAAATTTGCATCAGGTGCCGAATTATCTGTAAACATAATGCAATTCAAAATGCCAAAATGTCTCCGTGTGGTGGCACACACCTGTAGTCCTAGCTATTTGGAAGGCTGAGGTGGGAGGAGCTCTTGAGTCCAGGGTTTTGAGACTATAGTCAGCTATGATTGCACCACTGCACTCTAGCCTGGGGACAGAGTGAGATCCTGTTTCTAAAAACAAACGAAAACAGCCAAAATGATTTTTTAATGAAACTTCACAGGTTGATAGTAGAATTCACATAGAAGAGCAAAATGTGAACAATGGCCAAGGCAATTCCGAAGAAACATAAATTTGTAGTCTCTCCTTGACAAATATTTTTATTATTAAAAAGCTAAAGTAGGGCCGGGCGCGGTGGCTCAAGCTTGTAATCCCAGCACTTTGGGAGGCCGAGGCGGGCGGATCACGAGGTCGAGAGATCGAGACCATCCTGGTCAACATGGTGAAACCCCGTCTCTACTAAAAATACAAAAAATTAGCTGGGCATGGTGGCACGTGCCTGTAATCCCAGCTACTCAGGAGGCTGAGGCAGGAGAATTGCCTGAACCCAGGAGGCGGAGGTTGCGGTGAGCCGAGATCGCGCCATTGCACTCCAGCCTGGGTAACAAGAGCAAAACTCCGTCTCAAAAAAAAAAAAAAAAAAAAAAAAAAAAAAAAAAAAAAAAAAAAAGCTAAAGTAATTAACACAATATATTACCAGTAAAAAAAAAAAAAAAAAGTTACATGGGGGTCGGTGGGACCTGCGCTGCCTCAGGATGTAAAGTGTAACAAGGAGGTCGGGGAGGGCAGCGTGGGCCTGTGAGGCCTGTGGGTGCCTGTGTTCCCCAGCTCCCCCTGCAGCTGGCTCTGCAGTGGTCCGCTCCAGCTGCCATGCGGATACGGGTTCCAGGCTGAAGGCTACCTGTTCTCTGGTGCCCGCCCCCCACCGCATCCCCAGGCTCCCCCTGCAGCCAGCTCCACAAGTGGTCCACTCTGGTTGCTGAGCATGCAGATCGGGTTCCAGACTGAAGGCTTCGTGTTCTTGGTGTTTACTGTGACCCCAGCGGGCTGGGGTTACTGCGGGGATAGCCAGAGCAGCCTTGGTGCTATGGAGGAGCCCGGAGCTACACCTCAGCCATGCTTGGGGCTGGTTTTGGAGGAGCTAGCAAGATTGTGGAAATACTGCCCGAAAGTGTGGAATCAGATTCTCATCCTTACGGTTTTCCATGGGAATTAGTAATATGGGCAGCTATTGTTGGATTTCTGGCTGTTCCCCTTTTTTTTTGTGGAGAAGTTTTAGACCAGTTAGGAGTCGGCTTTATGTGGGAAGAGAGAAAAAGCTTGCTGTAACGCTTTCTGGACTGATTGAACCAAAATGTAAACTCCTTGAAAAATCTAGCCTTGTTCAAAAAGAGCGTGAAGACTATGAAGTAGTCATTTTTAAAGAATGCCCACTTTGCGAAGGAGGCTGCAGAAACACATAGTTTGGAGGCAACCTGTGAAAAGCTGAACAGTTCCAAGTCTGAACTTGAGGACAAAATACTCTGTCTAGAAAGAGTTAAAAGAAGAGAAATCTAAACATTCTGAACAAGATGAGTTGATGGTGAATATTTCAAAAAGGATACAGTCTGTAGAAGATGAGTCAAAATCTCCCAAATCACACATAGCTGAAGGCAAAATGACTTTCAAGATATTTCAAATGAATGGAGAACAACTGAAAATAGCAATAAAAGATGCTTTGAATGAAAATTTCAACTTCAGGAAAGCCAGAAACAGCTTTTGCAAGACGCTGAAGTATGGAAAGAACAAGTGAGTGAATTTAATAAACAGAAAATAACATTTGAAGACTCCGCAGTACACACAGAACAAGTTCTAGATGATGAAGATGATCACATCAAGACTCTGAACGAACGCTTGCTGGAGATGAAAGCTTGGGCTGCTATGCGTGGAGAGGACAGAGCAGGTGATAATAATTTGAAACTGGAAACGAACAGTCAATCAGAAAATGGTGCTTACTTAGATGAACCTCCAAAAGGAGCTTTGAAGAAACTGATTCATGCTGCTAAGTTACATGCTTTTTTACAAACTTTAATAGGAGAAAGGAACCAAATTTATATTCAGTTATGTGAAGCTGATAAAACAAAGAAAGAGCTTAGAAAGCATACTAAAAATCTTCAGATTGAACAAGCATCTTTGCAGTCAGAAAACACATATTTTGAAAGTGAGAATCAGAAGCTTGAACAGAAACTTAAAGTAATGACTGAATTATATCAAGAAACTGCAATGAAACTTTACAAAAAATTATTAGTAGAGGAAAATTACCAGTTAGAGAAAAAAGAGAAAATTTCTAAAGTAGATGAAAAGATGAACTATACCACTAATGAGCTGGAGACCTATAGAAAGCAAGCCAAAGATCTTGAAGAAGAGTTGGAAAGAACAAGTCATTCTTATCAAAGGAAGATTATTTCCCACGAGAAAAAAAGCACATAACTGGTTTGCAGCTCAGACTGCTGAAGGAAACCTCAAAGATTTGAGGAAAGAAAATGCTCATAAAACACAAAAATTTACTAAAACAGTTTAAATTTGAACTTTTACAAAAAATCCTTATGCACTTCATGTTCCAAATACAAAATACAGCTGAGAGCATTACCCATATGTTACCCATATTCCCCCCATCTCCTCCAGGAACTGAGTTTGGAGTTTCTCCACATGATTTTCCACCAAGAGATTTCCCAGGTCCACTATATGCTCCATTTCCAATGAGAAATGTCTATCCACCGAGGGGTTTTCCTCCTTACCTTCCCCCAAGACCTGGATTTTCCCTCCCCACCCCCAAATTCTGAATGTAGAAGGGAGATCTTTCAGGGTCAGTTCCGCCTTCAAGTGAGACTGCTACTGAACATTCAGAGCCACGGCAAGAAATTGGTTATACGTTGCCTAGTTGGCATTACAAATAAATTAAAAAGTAATGAACTGCATTTAATGAATTATGCCAGAACAATTATATGGAAAGCATGAAACAAAATGTTATCTCCAACTAAAACTCTATTCACAAATAAATTTTAAGTATTTTAATAATGTAAATATAATAAGCTTTTGTAATGTCAAGGAATATAGAATATTTTTATAAACTCAGGGTAAGAACAAATTTCATAAATTACACATGACAACACATGAGGAAGTATATGTTCGGTATGTTTTATCTCATTGAAATTAAAAACTCTTTGCAGCAGAATCTATGAAGAAATTTAAAAGACAAAACAAAACAGTAGTGGTGTATAGTTGTAATCCTTAAAAGTAACAAAGGATTACAAATGAAGTTTGTAATGTACCATCACAGAGATGAAGATAAATATGGACAAGTCATGCTAGGACACAGAAAAGAAAACGTAATTATACTAAAAGGTATAGTCAGTCTCTTCAACCATAAAGAAAATGTGTAAGGAAACCATGAGATTTTCTACCCATAATTTGGCAAAAGTTTTTAAAACTTTTATAATGAGGAGAAACTGGACTTTCATGCACTGTTGATGAAAATGACAATTTTATATAACTACTGAAAAGCTATTTGTAATATTTTGAGATTTTGAAATAGTACAAATACTTTCACCCAGCAATTCACACTTTTAGAGAGAATAATGGTATATTGTGCAGTACTTTAAAAAAAGAATTAGTGCTACATCTATTTACATAGTTATCTTAAACACAATTTGATTAAAACTAATACAATAAAAGTGTTGTCAAATAATATTATGGTTGATGTAATATTGAAAACTATGTAAACAATACAACATATTGTTTTCAAAACATAGTAATAGTTTTAAATTTTAGCAATTTTTTAATAATTATAAAATTATTATGTGAGACATTTTCACTAAAAATAGAAGGTAACTCCCTGCACTAATGTTTGAAACGTTAAGCATAAAATTCGTTCAAAATTTAAAAATTAAGCACATTAAAAATCATATGTCATCAACATCTTGCTTTCTCTAGAGATAAAAGAGAAAAGAAAGAGAAATGGTATTGAGAGAACTATATATTTTCAACAATAGCTATAAGTTTGTTCTTAAAAATATGAAGCATTGGCTAGGCATGCTGGTTCACGCCTGTAATCCCAGCACTTTGGGAGGCCAAGGTGGGCGGATCACAAGGTCAGGATATCGAGATCATCTTGGCCGACATGGTGAAACCCCGTCTCTACTAAAAATAAAAAAAAAAATTAGCTGAGCGTGGTGGCACACACCTGTAGTCCCAGCTACTCAGGAGGCTGAGGCAGGAGAATTGCTTGAATCCAGGAGGTGGAGACTGCAGTGAGCTGAGATCAAGCCATTGCACTACAGCCTGGGCGACAGTGTGAGACTCCATCTTAAAAAAAAAAAAAAAAAAAAGCATTTTAAGATAATCACTTTTAAATGTTAAAATAAATACCATTAGTAAATTAATTGGTTAAATCTCATAGATAGACGTGTTTGTAATTTAAATTGAATTAGCAACCATGTTGAATGATGGGAAAGTTGCCTCCTATCTGCCTTTCTTTTCTCTTATTCATAGACACTGATCTTTGTTTAATCTCCAGCTGAATACTGTCAACAAATTGCAATGAGATATAATTCTCATGTTTGTGATTAGGATTCAAACTTATAAATAATAGCTTTATAATATTTTTAGATTGCATTTTCAAGACTCCTGGTAGCAATACTTCACTTTTAAGCTATAATTATATTTCACTGGAAATGTCTTCCTCTTCTTTAGAAGGGCTATTTCCTTACTTTTTTAGGAGTGTTTCAAAGCATATTTGACTATGTTTTTTATTTTACTTAAAAAGGTTAAAAATCAGCTTTTAGAATGCATATATTTTTAATTTGCTTATAGAATGTAGACATTCATTCTCAAAATGTAAGAATTTTAGCTTTTCAAGTTTCAGTTTTCATAAAACAGAAAAGGATACTTTTAGCCATCTACATTTATTAGCTAAATCAATTTTAAGATGACCTATTTAGATAATTACAACTATTGAAAAGGTGTAATGGAGCATCATTTTATTATTTATTGCTAAGATAGAAAAAGGGTAAAAATAAAAAATGGAATTTGTCCATAGGGAGTTAGCAAGATGGGAAGCATAGGTTAATTCTTACAGTCCAAACAATTTTGAGTCTTTATTTCTCTTTACTGATTCATTTTCTGAAACCCATTCATAACTATAAATTAATAGAATCCAGCCAGCATGTAAAATGACCACCATAGCATACAAAGATTTTGAAGAACAGATGTACTTGCTCCCTTAAAACTTTCAAATACTGTGAATGAAGAAAGTAAAGGGCCTTCTCCTTAGGAAAATGGGAAGGACTTAGGACTCCAGAATTCTTTACTTATCTCACAGCGTTTATTGAACTTTTCGTATGACTAATACATGCTATGGACACTACAGGAGATTTTTTAAAATTACATGATGGAAGCGATGCATGATTTAAAAATAGAGTATGCATGTATGAGTAGCAAAAGCGAGGCAGTGAAGAGGAAAAGATGATAGAAAGGGATATAAATCACATTTATTACATATCTACTCTGTGAAACAATTGCAGCGTATTGGATGGGCCATTCTGTCTCTTGCTTCAAGTTAAACATTGGATGTACTGTTTTCTTGCCTATATTTCACAAGGTTAAGAGATCGAGACCATCCTGGCCAACATCGTGAAACCCTGTCTCTACTAAAAATACAAAAAATTAGCCGGGCGTGGTGGTGCGTGCCTGTAGTCCCAGCTATTCGGGAGGCTGAGGCAGGAGAATTGCTTGAAACCAGAAAGCAGAAGTTGCACTGAGCCGGGATCGCGCTATTGCACTCCAGTCTCAAAACAAACAAACAAACAAACAAAAAAGGGAGACCAATACAGAACCAGCAGTTATTTCACTGTAAAGGTAAAGTAAATCTTAATTCAGTCTGAAGCAGTCACTGGAGAAAGTTTATTATTGCTGTCCTTGTTGCTATACTGATGTAGTCTGTCGGGTTGCTTTTTCTCAAGGTCCAATAATGAGATGCAGATCAACTGGGGAAAAAAAAGAGTTTATTTCCACAATCATCAAGAAGGTTAGGGCAACTCACCAGACCAACTCACAGTTACAAGTTTTTCTCCGGTGCATGTACATTTACAGCTCCATAACTACATGTGGGAGTGCACCTACCAGCAGGAGTGTTTCATTTAATCTCTGTCTAATCTCTAATCTGTCAGAGGTCTAGAAAGCTTTCTCTAGAGCCTTGGAAATTTTCTTAATCTTAAGTGGGCACTGGAACAAGGTGTATATGTAGGAATGATTGTATTATTGGATCAGACATGGGGTGTTCAATCTTTTGGCTTCTTTGGGCCACACTGGAAGAACTGTCCTAGGCCGTACACAAAATCTAATGCTAACAATAGCTGATGAGCTAAAAAATAAAAATTAAAAAAAAAATCACAAAAAAAAGCTCATAGAAAGTTTGCCAATTTTATCAATTTGTGTTGGGCTATATTGGAAGCCATCTTGGCCACATGTGGCCCATAGGCCACGTGCTGTACAAGCTTGCTTTAGGGTTTGAGAAAACCCAGGTGGGATCTTAATGAGTTTAATTCTACATTCCAGCTCTCATACTCAAGTACCAGTCTCTCCAGTTCTTTAATGTTTAACTATGTATTTATCAGATTTATAGTAAAGGACTGGTTGAAACTGTCTGCTCTGGCTGCTAATGGAAACCTGACCTGCTACATTCTGACAAAGTCACAGTACAGAAGGGTTGATTTAATTTTTTTTCTTGAATCCCAAAACACTAAATATACTAACCATGTTTTAACTTCACTCTGTACTTACTAGTAAAAAACAACGAATGTTAGTATATAAACGTATGTCACTAGTTCATTATGAATGTACAACATTAGGTTCATTTAAATTTCAGAATGCTAAAGATGTTAAAAAGAGGAAAGTATAAAACCTGGAACTGGGAGCCGGGCGCGGTGGCTCAAGCCTGTAATCCCAGCACTTTGGGAGGCCGAGGTGGGTGGATCACGAGGTCGAGAGTTCGAGACCATCCTGGTCAACATGGTGAAACCCCGTCTCTACTAAAAATACAAAAAAATCAGCTGGGCATGGTGGCGTGTGCCTGTAATCCCAGCTACTCAGGAGGCTGAGGCAGGAGAATTGCCTGAACCCAGGAGGCGGAGGTTGCGGTGAGCCGAGATCGCGCCATTGCACTCCAGCCTGGGTAACAAGAGTGAAACTCCGTCTCAAAAAAAAAAAAAAAAAAAAAAAAAAAACCTGGAACTGGAAACTCTAGGCATGAGCTGCTGGATCTAGCTGCACTCTAGAAATAATTCCACATTTGTGTTGACCAGACAGATGAACAGAAAGCAAAAAAAAAAAAAAAAAAAAAAAAAAATTGTTGTGAGCTGAATTAAGGTCCCCTAAATTCATATGTTGAAGTTCTAGTTCTCAGTACCTCAGCACGTGAGTGTATGTAGAAATAGGGCCTTTAGCAAGGTAATTAAGGTAAAATGAAGTCATAATGGGTAAACTCTATCTGACTAGTGTCCTTACAATAGGAGGAAATTAGGTCATAGGTAACACAGATCCAAAGAGAACCCTGTGAAGACACAAGAAGGCAGCCCTCTGCAAGCAAAAGAGAGGCCTGGCTGGGTATGGTGGCTCATGCCTATAATCCCAGCACTTTGGCAGGCTGAAGAGGGTGGATCACCTGAGGTCAGGAGTTCAAGACCAGCCTGAACACCATGGTGAAACCCCGTTTCTACAAAAATACAAAAATTACCTGGGCATGATGGCGGGTGCGTGTAATCCCAGCTACTCGAGAGGCTTGAACCCAGGAGGCAGAGATTGCAGTAAGCCGAGATTGTGCCATTGCACTCCAGCCTGGCTGGGCAACAGAGAGAGACCTTATCTCAGGAAAAAGACAGCAAGATCCTGTCTCTAAAAAAATTTTTTTTAAATGAACATTTACTCTGAGGATTATGTTAAGTGTCTTAGATATGTTCAAATACCCAATAATCTTTTGAGGTAGATAATATTTTATCCCTATTTTACATAGGGGAAAACTGAAGCTCAGAGAGATTAAGCAATTTGCTTAAGTCGCACAGCAATGTCATGACAGAACTAGTAATTGAACCCAGCTGAACTAATTATACAATTGAACGATCACTTCCTAGATTATCCCTTGAGTGTTGCTTTTCTGAGGGGCACAGATGTCACAGGAAGCCTCTAGCTTCTGGAAGTTCAGTGTGAGGGCCAGGCAGAGACAAATGAGCCCCACAATTGTCCTTTGATGAAGAGCTCCTGGAGACAGCTGGGGAGGAGGAGGAGGCAGACAGACGCTGGGCGCACCAGGGGAGACAGAGATGCAGCGTCAAAGGCGAAAGTGCCAACAGGTCTGTGAGTAAGAGGCCCCTGCTCTGTCACCCGGCTGGGGCTTCTATTAGAGCAAAGCTTTGAAACCAATGACAAGCCAGCGAAAGAGTGCTAGCCTGTTTCTGCTGCCAAAACACGCATTTCTTGACTTAACACCGCTCTTTCCTTTTTTTTTTTTAACCCTTAAGCTTATCATCATTTTTAATATTTTAAATTTACTCAGATCATAAATTAAGACATTATCACTTTAAAATGTATATAATATACAGCTATTTAGAGCCAAAATTAGAACTTCCTTGTATAACTCCCCACCTCCCAGCTCGAAGATGTTGCCACAGTTGATAGTTTGAAGTTGGTTAGCCTAGTTTCTCTGGAAAATGGGGCTCAGAGCAAGGAAGAACGCGTGGCTGCTTCCTTTGAGAGGTGCAATCCCAGAAATGAGCCCAGGATGATCACAGGGTGAGGAAGGGGGCAGGGAGGCCATGGGAAGGCGGGTATCATGAGGCCATCCCTCCACAGTCATCCTGTGGCTGCTCTGGAGGTGCACCCACTTCACACAGAACACCTCCAGGAGACTGCAAGGAGAAATCCAGCCTCAGATAGTTCAGAGAAAGATGGAAGGAGAGGGGGTTTATCCACCTGGATCCCTCCTGTCTCCTGGGTCTCATTAGTCAACCTTGGCTCTGTGGCCAATGAACGATTAATTCTCTTTTACTTCTGGCACCATTTGGTCATTTTGGGGCCTCTGAGGTCTTCCCATCCCACACACTGTGGGGTGTGTCTCAAATATGGACGTAAGTCTTATTATTACTCAAGTATGGTGAGACCAACAGCTCCGGAGATGACTGCCGTTAAAAAGAGAGTTTGTCACTCACAGGTCCCAAGAAGACGGTGCATGCCATGCCAGGAAGGGCCATGAGGAGGAGCATGAGGGTCAGTCAGGAGACAGAGGGTGAGAGGGGCAAATGGGGCAAGATCCTTTACTTTACTTTCCAGGTGATGCAGGTAAGCAGGTTTAGGATTGGCTAGATTGAATAATTTCAGCAGGCTTTGGAGCATAGCAGCTGACCCTAGATGCTTGATACCTGGCCTTGGGGAATAGCAGCCTGGAGTGAAAGAGCCCAGAGATAAAAAAGCGTGGTGGGGGTGGAGGCTGTGGATTGGTTCGTTTGCATGTGAAATGCACACTCACAGGCCAGTCCTTTACTATCTCTTGACCATCCCTGGGAGGAGGAGTCCCTCCAGAGTTACCAAGGCCCCAGATGTCAAAGCATCAGAAACACAGAACATAGAAAGGTGTGATTAATACAGGAGGAACCAGAAACTCTGGGCATGAGCTGTTGGATCTAGCTGCACCGTGGTGGCCAAGGGGGAAGGTCCTGTGCTCTCAGAGCCAGTGACTGGTGATCCCCAGCACAGATAATGTCCTCTGCCTACTGCGACCTCTTTGATGGCAGTTCTTCCTACTCTCCCCTCATTCATACCAGCCTCCTTAGTCTCCTTGCTGTTTCTGGAACATGCCAGGCAACAGGGGCCATGGCGTTAACTTTCCAGATCTTTTTCTCTATATTTGTACACAGTCACATGCATACATATATGCACACTATTGTCTCAAGACTTTTCTGATACCACCGCACATCTTAGAGCTCCCCTTATGTCAGTCATTGGAAATTTCCCTTGTTCTTTATAATCACTGTAATGGTTGAAGTATGGGTGCATCAAAAGTCACTTAGGCCAGGTGTGGTGGCTCACGCCTGTAATCCCAGCACTCTGGGAGGCCAAGGCAGGCGGATCACTACGTCAGCAGTTCGAGAGCAGCCTAGCCAACATGGTGAGAACCCGTCTCTATTAAAAATACAAAAATTAGCCAGGTATGGTGGCATGCACCTGTAATCACAGCTACTCAGTAGGCTGAAGCAGGAGAATTGCTTGAACCCAGGAGGCAGAGGTTGCAGTGAGTGGAGATCATGCCACTTCACTTCAGCCTTGGCAACAGAGCGAGACTCCATCTCAAAAAACAAAACAACAACAACGACAACAAAAAAGTCACTAAAGCACACCCCTATTGATGGATATTTAGGTTATTTTCAGCACTTCCTGATTATAAGAATAAGCGGTCTTGCTCCTGTCTTTGTATAGACATGAGAGTAGAAAACCTACAAGAAAAATTGCTAGGACAAAGGGCAGGAGTAGTTAATAATTTCATAAATATCGCCAACTGCTCCCCAGAAGGCCATTCCCACTCACAGTGCATGAGGTTTGCGAGAACTCATTTTTCCACACCATTTCCAACAACAGGTATTTTCAGTGATTTATCTTTTTGAAATCAATCTATTTCATTTTCTTTTTTTTTTTTTTTTTTTTTTTTGAGATGGAGTCTCGCTCTGCTGCCCAGGCTGGAGGGCAGTGGTAGGATCTCGGCTCACTGCAGCCTCTACCTCCTGAGTTCAAGCGATTCTTCTGCCTCAGCCTCCTAAGTAGCTGGGATGACAGGTATATGCCACCATGCCTGGCTAATTTTTGTATTTTTAGTAGAGATGGGATTTCACCATTGTTGGCCAGACTGGTCACGAACTCCTGACCTCAAGTGATATGCCTACCTCAGCCTCTTAAAGTGCTGGGATTACAGGTGTGAGCCACCATGCCTGATGAAATGAAATCAACTCACTTCTTTCTTTCCTCCTTTCTTTCTTCCTTCCTTCCCTCTTTCTTTCTCTCTTTTTCTTTCTTTCCATCCTTCTTTCTTTCTTTTTCCTTCCTTCTTCCTTCCTTCCTTCCTTCCTTTCCTGATGGAGTCTTGCTCTGTCATCCAGGCTGGAGTGCGGTGGCGCAATCTTGGCTCAGGCTAATCCTGAGTTCAAGTAATTCTCCTGCCTCAGCCTCCCGAGTAGCTGGGACTTAGCTGGGACTACAGGCATGCATCACTATGCCCAGCTATGAAATCAACCAATTTCTAATAGCCACTCTAGCTGATTCCAAAAATGGCTTAAAGTAGTTTTTACTCAAACAAATACCTGAAGGTCCTCTTTTGCAAGGATCTGCCAGCAGAGGCCATGTCTGTCCTCAAACCATAAAGAAGGCATCCTGATCATCACCGAGAAGTACTACATGCACCCAGGTAGCAACTTCTACACACACAAGGATGCATGCGAGGAGAGCGTCATCATTCCCAGCTTGAAGCTCCACAGCCAGACAGCAGGCCACGCTACACACACGATGAAGTGGATTCAGGAGGCCTGGGGAGAGCCAGCTCCATGAGGTTGCTGGATGGGGGAGAAAGGAGAGAGAATTCTGTTCCTGAGGTCTCAGCCTAGATGGAGAGATAACTGAAGCAGATCCTAACACTAAGGACATGCTGAAACTTGAGAACTTCAGCAGTCTGTCCAACCTGCAGGTCACTCAGCCTTCAATTGAGATGAATTTCAAAACACCTCATGGAGCTGTTTGAATCTTTCTACTCTGGTGTAATGAACATTTTCAATAAACCTGGGACAACAGAAAAAAAAAAGAAAGCAATCTAGAATCGAGGTGAAATCGTTTGGACTCTACAATCAGGCTACTTAGGCTCAAATTCCCGCAACACCATTTAAAGGCTGTGTGATCTTGTCAAGCTTCTTAACCACTCTGGGGATTGGTTTCTTGGTAGTAGAATGAGAATAATAGAGTTGTAGTGTATGGCAGCCATAAAAATGCATCTCTCAAATTTCCAAGGGTGGGAGTGTAATTGACCGGTTCACCTGCTTCACTCTGAAGGAAGTATAACATTTGCATCGGGAACAGGTTCCCATGGGCTGCTCCCAGGCATGACTGAGTGGCAAGGGTTCTAATACAGGTCTCTTCCTGTGAGACAGGATGTGAATGGACCTTGCTGACGCTTAGAACTGCGTTGCAATTTAAGATTTTTCCTACCTGTATGAGTTTCCTTTTGTGGTATAACAAATTAGCATGAAGTTAGTGGCTTAAAACCACACACATTTATTATCTTACAGTTTTAGACACCAGATGGTAGAAATCAGTTTCACTGGGCTAAAGTCATGGTGTTAGCAGGACTGGTTCCTCTGGAGGCTCTTGGGGCAAATTCGTTTTCTTGCCTTTTCCAGCTTCTGGAGGCTGCCTACATTCCTTGGTGGTCATGATATGACCCCTGCCTGAGTCACTCTTGCTGTCATTGCTACATATTTCACCTCCTCCTTTGACCTTCTTGCTTCCCTTTTTCATAAGGACACCTGTGATTACATTGAGGGCACACTTGGATAATCTAAAATAATCTCCTCATCTCAAGATTCTTAGCTTAATTATATCTGCAAAGTCCCTTTGGTCATGTAAGGTCACATTCCTTGGTTCAGGGGATTGGGACACGGGTATCTTTGGGGGCCATTATCAACCACCTACCCTTCCCACTTTCCTTCTTTTCCTCACCTTCCCGCAGAGGTCAGACCTGCATCATAATCTGATGACTCTCCCAGTTGCCTCCAGACAAAATATAGCATGCCCAGTTAAACTGGAATGCCAGATTATCAATGAATACTTTTAAATATGAGTATGCATGGGACATATGGCACGGGACATACTTATATTCAAATGTATTCATTGTTTATCTGACATTCAAATTTAACTAGATGTCTTGTATTTTAGTTTGCTAAACCTGGCCACCTTCAACTAGTTCCTTCCCCATTTTCCATCAGAGGTATTTTCCCCAATAAACCTCTAGCACATCGGATCCTCCATTGGCGTCTGCTTCGCAGAGGCCCCCAGCTAGCACACGATGAGAACTGAATGAGAGAACGCACAGCAAGATCGCAGAGCAGTGCCTGTCCCCAGGAAGTAAGCGTTTGCTCTTAGCTGGTAGGCACAGCCAAATATTACCAACTGGTGTGTGAACCTAGGCTGTCTGACTTCCTAGTCCAGGCTCCCTCACCCCTCACCCCTATACTTAGCAGGTGCTCAAAACACATTTCATGGGAGAGGTATGTATTTGTTTGCATGTTTACAGATGAATTCTGGGAGGATGCCAAGGATTGGTGGTTGCCCTGGAGAGGGCCTGGGGGCCTGGAGGAGAAGTATGAAAGTGAGATTCACTTTTTATTAAACGACCTTGCCTACCCACTTTTTGAATTGAAACCATATGATTGTTATTACCTATCACAAAACTTAAAATTTAAACTTGTTTCGAATTGAACTAAATTCATTGCAATTTTTATATCCTGGAAGTTCAAGGAGTGCAGAACGCCCGACTAGGAGCCATTGAACTGATCGAGGCCCCACATTTGCTCTGAGAGGCACTGGTTGGAAGTAGTGAGTGTTCCCATAAACCCCTAAAGGTGCTTTTTTTTTTCCCACCTAGCTGCTCCTGAAAGTACTTTTGAAAGACCAAGTTCTTGTACCAATATCAAACAACACTTTGGTGCCAGACGACCTCCCTAATCATTCCACAGTGGTGCTCTCAACCCAACCAAGGTCTTTGGGAGGCAAGGAGCTGGCATGGAGGCAAAGGACATCTTTCACCTTCCCTCACATTTTGCCCACCAGCAAACCAGGAGGAAGGGCTTGTGTCAGGGAAATGGATCAGAAAAACTCAGCACTCAGAGAGGCTTAAAGGTCAGTGCAGGTGGGAAAATTCTCCCTAACCTCCCTAATCCAACATTTCCTCAGTCCATTCTTGCATGGATCTAGGGATGGGAACCTCACTCCCTCAGAAACAGCCCAGCTGTTCTAACCAGCACAGCTCTGCCAGGAAGAAAGTGTTTTTCTCTCTGAGCTGAGACCTGGCACCCTCTGACTGCCCCCTGACATCCCTGTGGGTCCTTGCTCTGCCCTCTGGGCTCCCAGGTCCTGTGAGTCACTGCAGAGGAGCCCGCAGGCTGCCTTCTCCAGCTTTACAGAGACTGGGCTCTTCCTGGCCTCCTGCTTGCCCTGGGCAGGCTCAGCCTGGTTCTCCTGCAAGACCCAGCACCTAGGAATGGGATGACAGCCAACAAGTCTTCAGAAAGCCCATGGTGGGGCTGGAATTCCAAGAAAGGGGTATGACAGTTTGCTGGAACTCCCCTGGCTGAGCCCTGTGAAAGCCTAAGTATCTCATGCAGAGGGCAGAGGGTCTTAGGTAACCAGAACTCCGGGTGCCTCCACCCCCAGTTCTGCACCTCTCCAGCCTACACAGGGCTAGGTACTCTTAAAGTCAGAGCTGTGGCACTGGTGTCTCCACCTTGAACACCTGCTTCTGTTAACTTATTCTTTTTTCTTAAAAAAAAAAACAAACTTATTTTTGTATTTTAATTTTATTTTATTTTCTCTAATCCTATGACATATATTAGAAATGACTTATTTTGGCTTGGTGTAGTGGCTCAGCCTGTAATCCTAGTGCTTTAGGAAGCTGAGGTTGGGAGCATCACTTGAAGGCAGGAGTTTGAGACCAGCCTGGGCAACATAGTGAGATCTCATCTCTACAAAAAAATCTAAAAATTACCCAGGTGTGGTGGCACATGCCTGTAGTCCCAACTACTTGAGGGCCAGAGGTGGGCAGATTGCTTGAGCCCAGAAGTTTGAGGCTGCAGTGAGCACTGCCCTAAGCCTGGGCCCTGTCTCTTAGAGAGAGAGACAGACTTATTTTTAAAAGTAAAAAAACATCCAGAAGATCCAGAGGTAGCTACCTTGACAAGTTTCTCGTGTGTTCTACTAGAGCTTTTCTAAGCATTTATAGCGGATCCAGGCCGTTCTTGACGTGGGAGAGATCCCCCACTTCCCTTTATGTGCCAGCCCTGGATAGCAGCTCTTATTCCCCGACTGCACGGTCCCTTGCTGGGTGGCCCCGCTCTGCCCCAGCTGTAGTAAGTATGGCCCCTGCTTCTGCATAGAGTGGTTCTGAGCGGTCCATAGGTCTAAGTTTTGACATGCAGTGCTTATTTAAAAGCCTATTAAAGAAAACACGCTAGTGCCTCCAACCCATCATTTCACATCTGCCTTGAATGGGGTTAAGTTTTAAACGCGTGTTGTGTTCAAGGGAAAGAACAGGTAATTTGCAGATATGGCAGGACCGTTCAGGAGGCGCAGGAATAGCTCAGAGGCTTGGCAGTGCCGCCGCCTGGAAAGGGTGGGTGGAGGACCGGAGACTCCCGCCGAGCCCACTCTGCGGCGGGGAGAGGAAGGCAGCCTCTGGCTGGGTCTGAGGTTCTCCACCTTGCCTGCGCAGCAGAATCACATGAGGGTGGGGGGCGTTAAAAAGCCCGAAGTCCAGGCTGCCTTCCAGATCAATCCGATGAGTGGGGCCAGCATCAGAATTCTTTCAAGTTCCACCCGGAGCGCCCCGGGCCTCTAGTGGGAAACGGCAAGTGTCAGGCGCCCCCTGCTGGCGGGAGGAGCCGCGCGGTCGCACTCAGGTGGGATTTGCTCGCAGACTCGAGTCTCAAAGTGCTGGAGAGGTTGGTTGCTCCAGGCTAAATAAGAACAGTTAACAAGCGGAGGCTATTTAAAGCAGGCGGCTGGGAGCATGGGCTCAGGACGCAGGCAGAAAACGATGCCCCAAATTCTGATCCTCACAGTGCCACCCAGGCCCAAACAAAAATAGGAGCAGAAGACATTGACCAGACAGCACGGGGGGCATGGAGGAGGCTCTTATTAAAATGTCTAATGCACTTGGTGATGTTCCTGTTTTAGCCCCAGCTGAAGTCTTACCGTCCCCACACATGGTCTTCTGCTCATGAAGGTGAAGGTCATTCATAACACAATAATTAATTCATTCAGCAAATAATTCCTGGGCGCAGCCCTGTGCAGGGCACTGGGGGATAATAACAAAAAGCATAATAGCTCACACTTACAAGGTCCTATGCAGCACACTGGAAAGTAATGAAGAAAATAATAGGCTGGGTGAGGTGGCTCTTGCCTATAATCCCAGCACTTTGGGAGGCTGAGGCGGGTGGACTGCTGAGCACAAAATGCACTGAGCACAAAAATGGCCCAGTCTCTGCCTATCATGGGCTGAGTCATGGCCCACCCCTCATTCTTACGGTGAAGCCCTAACTCTCAGTACCTCAGAATTCGACTGTCTTTGGAGGCAGTCTTTAAAGAGGTGATTAAATTAAAATGAAACCATTAGGGACTGCCCTAATCTTTATAGGAAGAGGGAATTAGGGACACACATACACAGCGGGAAGGCCATGTGAATACACAAGGCAAAGACGGCCAAGGAGAGAGGCCTTAGAAGAAACCCACCCTGCTGACACCTTGATCTGGGACTTCCAGCCTCCAGAAGTGTAAGGCAGTAA